TTGAATACACAGATACAAAATGGGCATTCATCGGTATACCCCATTTTTTCTAAGTTCCGTTATTGAATATTATAGGTGTGTAAACTCAGCAAAATATTCCAAAAGAGTCCAGTAGCCCATCCTGATATAATTTAAAACTTAGAATTTGCCTCAAATGAACAACTTCACCTTTTGTGTTATACAAAGAATGTTGAGATGTTACTTTGAGCACCACAAGGAATCCAACTGCCAGTCTCCATATGCTAAACAAACAACACTGACATATATGAGTAAATCATAATAATGATACTAACATCTATTGAGTGTGTACCATGTCCTCGTATTTACTAATTTTATGTGTTAATCTTAACTAATCTTCACACCATCCTATGAGGTACATACTATACCATTATTATCCCTACCTACACATTAGGAGCCACAGCCCAAGTGAAACAGCAAATGAAGGGCAGAGCCAGGCTCTCAACCTTGGCACAACCTACAGTCCCTTCTTATAACCATTACACTATATTGCCTGGGTCAGTACCTTGTTTGTTCACAAAATTCAGATTTTAGCCTCTTCTTGGATGGTCTCTGGCTTTCATGTAGTTGAGCAAGAATGTTTCTCCCAGTCTAAAAAAAAAAAAAAAAAAAAAAAAAAAAAAAGGCCAAGTCATGTAAACAGTGCTAAATTCACTCAGTAACAGATTTGTTCCCCTAACAGTGAAGGGGATTAACTTTCCCCTCAGTAAACACATCTTCATATGAAAACAAGCAATAGGAAAGGTGAGAGAGCAATTTCCTTCTGGAGAAGGCCCTGGCAATCCCAAATCATCCTTGTTCTAGATGCCTTGTGTTCTTCTAGTCCATTTAACAAATGTTCACTGAACTGCGCTGAGGGACACAAACAGTGAACAAAATATACATGACTGGGCGAGGCAAACACACAGGTAAAGAAGAAATTGCAATGAAACAACAAACTAAATTCATCACCCCGATTGGATTATATGCTCCAAGACCCAATAACCGTGCCAAGCAAATAAGAAGTATCTATTACATGAATAAACTATAGTGATATGATATGGTGATATGATATGATGATATGATATGACAAACTCTCTAGTGTCCACCTGGAGGACATGACAGGACATGGAGAAAGACCGCTGTCACAGAAATGGAGATGACAGACAGCTTCCTAGAAGAAGTATTGCACAAATCTGATGACTGAACAGACATGAGCCAAGAGAAAAGAGGTGGCAAAAGAAGAGGATGTTCTCATAAGCATGTGCAGTCTACAATAGTTAACAAGAATGTGAAGTAGGAGAGGGGAAGTCAAAATCGAAAGTATCTGCCTTCCTCATAATGCCACAGTTAGCCTTAGAGCAAGCAGAGTGCCTGTTAAAATGGAAAACTGGCGGCCTATCTACCTCTGCTGACTGAACCTAGCCTTTCTTCACTGCCTCTCTTTCCCATTTCACTTCCTCACTCCCCAATGGCTTGCCTTCACTTTCCAAATCAGTTTCTTGTCAAATGCTCACTTTGGGCTCTGCTAAGAAGGAAACCCAAAGCAAGACACTTGCTGAGTCTGTGACAATGACAAACTACACAAAGACTGAGGAAAGGAGAAGGCTGGCTACCTCACAAGGGAGAGAGACGGCATTACAACCAAAACTCTCCTCACAAGCTTCCTGAAACCAGGAAGTATTTCTAATGGGATGCTCCTATTATTGATCATGACACCCCCTGAGGAATATGGTAGAGTCTCAGCACAGCAGCTAGACTGGGGAGTAGACTGGAAAATAGCAATATGTACAGATCTTCTTGGTGGGAGGTATTTAAGGATTATGTTTGTTGATGGCCTCTCGTACCTCAATGCCTGATAGCCCCAAAGCAGGGAAGCTCAGACAGGATTGGCCTTCCTGCTCTGGCAACTCTCAGCTGCCCCGCTGGGGCTAGGGTAAATGATAAGCAATCATACCCAATCACTTCCTCTTAGAAGTCCCCATCACTGGAGTACCTGCCCCCTAGCAAATGTATAGAAATCTGTTCGACAGCAAAAAATCAACCAGTAATTATAGCTGTAAATAAATGATTATGCCTGCATCAAGGGTACATTCTCAAAAAAGTTTTACTGCAAGGGGCACATGATCCAAAAAATTCAAAGAAAGCCTTGGGGTGTAGCTAGGTAGTAGAGTGTTGCCTAGTATGCATAAGGACCTAGATTCTATCCCTAGCAGCACACATACACACAAACACACATACACACAAACACACACATACACATGCACACACACATGTACACACACACCTGCATGCACACACAAAACTTCCCAGAGGGTTTAGTGCAAATAAGATAGGCTAAGAACATTCTATCCACATAACCCTGTGTTTCCCATGGAATGAAGCTATAAACCTATCCAGAATCCATGGAGCAGCTATTTGAGGCCCATACTGGACAGACTCTAAGATACAGTCTCCTACAGTGATCACCTCCTATGCATTTCACACCCTTTGTGATCACCTCCCTTAGAGCATGGACTGGATCTAATGACTTGTTGTAATCAACAGAATATGGCAATGATGTTGAGATGCCACTTCTATGACTAGATTATAAGAGACTGTACCTTTCTGATCATTATTACCTTCACAGATTGCCTATTTGCAATGAAGTAAGCTGCCATGTTGGAAGGGCTCGCCAGCAAAGGCCAAGGAGAAGTCTCTGTCCAAAAGCCAGCAAGGAGCTAAGTAAGTCTTCAATCAAACAAACTATGAGAGACTGAATGGTGTCAATAGTCACATGATCTTAGAAGTAGATCCCTCCTCGGTGAAGCCTGCAGATCACTACTGCCCAACCAACTCCTTGACTGTACCAGCTCATGACTGATCTTGAAGGGCAGGGCCCAGGTAAGCCATGCCTGGGTTGCTGCCCAACAGTAG